TTTCTAAATAAAGCATCTTAGTAATCGCTGAGTTTCAAACATGTCCTGGAGACACAGCCACATGGCCAAAAATTCTAGCCATATGGAAAAGGGAAAACCACTTCTGTCAGCCTGAGAGAGAGAGAGAAACTCTGAGCATAGCAATATCGATACCTGCATCCACCTGACATTAACAAACAACACAAGTACAACATTCTATACTAAAAAATATTCCATTTAGTGACTCACTTCTTTCAAAGTCCATCTGTCTTCTAACTAGCTTAAAAAGATTTGGAGGTAGATATAAACCAATTGCAGCTAACTTAAAGGGATAGTATAGTGCCAGGAATACAAAGCTGTATTCCTGGCACTATCGCTCCCCGCCTCCCCCTTACTTTGGAACCCCTCTCCTCCAGTAAATAAAGGGGGTATTAACCATGATGTTATGGTACCAACTTTGCCTTGTACTTACTATCGCCTGTGCTTTGCGGTGTGCCCTAATCAAGCAATATTTGCCCTTGCTCCATGGGGTCCTATAATCATAACAGATGTGCCAAACTGTAAGCCAGTCCCTCATGGTTAAAGCTGGACCATGGCTGCAATGTCCCAGGTCATACTCTGTCCCACCACTGTCCACCTTGGCAGCAGCACCAGGACTTGCGCAGACTCCCTCCTAAGATGTAAGCTAGTAAACTATTCTGGGCATGTCATTGTAGCTACGTGATGCCAGCATTACCAGACCTTCTGCCTTTTCACCCTCATTGTGCCAGCTGCTTCAAGCCCTGTATGCCAGCTTCATTGGGCCTTAATCTAACTTCCTGGCGGTGCTGGAGCTCAAACCATTATTCCTCCTTGGTGCCATATGTGCCAGGCCAGTGAGGCAGCTAAATGGGCTTTATGCTATCTCATGCCATGGCCATAAGGCAATTCCCAATGGTGCCAGCTGATGTAGCCCTCAAGCAATTGAAGCATTACTTACCAACTGCAACCTGTGTCGGAAACGGTTTCTTCTTATGCCATTCAATCTAGTTTCCAGCTGCAGTGAGCCCTATGCAGACATTCAGTTGGTGCCAGCTTTGCTGGATCTTTTTAAACTTGTTATTATAATCTAATGAAACTGAGCTTCTAAGAAAAAATGAATAGTTTACTTAGTCTATAATGTAACTAAAATCTATAGTTTTTGGGAGGGGGGGGGGATTGATTTTCTTTTATTTCTATATGTTATTTTTAATGGTGTGATCATCTCTTGGGTTAGATGAGAATGGATCAAGTTATTCAATTTGCGGTGAACATGTTTTGAGTTCCACAGATTGTTATATACTGGATACATGTATTCCCAGGATTACCATGTAGCAAAGATTTCCCAGTCTTTCCTCTTCCATTGTTTCCTTTCAAGTTTCCATGTATTTGCTGTAATGTGATCAGACGCCAACACGCAATATCACAGTATATAAGGTTTTGTTAATGTTTTAGCCCTTGGCATGTGATACAAAATACATTGAATTTGGTTTACTGTTTAGTAATGTGGAGCAAGAGTCAGAGTGAAACCCAGTTTAGCACTGACATAGTCACTAAACCCCCAAAATGGAGAGTGCTAGCCCCTGCAGTATGGACCATGCGGACTGTGAAACCAGATATTGTTCACTGTCCAAATAAGACTTAAATTGTTCTTCTTTTCAGCTCTGTAGCTGCTGACAAACCAGAGGATCATGGGATATGTAGTTTAGCAATATTTAGCTGCTTGTTGGTTGTTTTTGTGACAGTGTGAAATTAGTATAAACACTGAAACCTGTTCATAAAACACAGGTTAATGTAAATATTTACACTGATGGTTAACGTAAAGGAATTTAGTAACAGGTCCTGTTAAACCCCATTCACTACCAAGTTGTTTTGACATAATGGGCAAAAACAGCATTTTTGTATGAATGGAGAATGGTTATATACGTTTCCTTTTCTTTTTTTCTTTTTTTTAAGGTTATTTTTACCATACACTTATATTGCATTACATACAAACACTGAGCTTAAATACAACTCAAGACCCCTTCCTCCCCCCCTCTATATGCCCTGTGTGGAGGAAGTACGTATTGATTATAACATGCAGAGTGTGTGTGTGTGTGTGTATATATATATATATATATATAGTGTGTGTGTGTGTAGGTGCTACGGAATCTGTTGGCGCTATATAAATGACGATAATAATGATGATGATAATGATAATATAAAGTAACTATTTGCTTTCTGCCTTCATTCTGCATATTGCGGAGGCCAATAGGGGCATTCAAAGGATCTCTCTGGCCATCCCATGCAGGGTCAACACTATGCCAGGGCAGCTCAGAGAGGGAGCTGGAAGACCAATGCGGGGATGAAAGATATATGTCGCCAGCAGCACACCGCTATGCAGGAGGTTAGGGAGCTTGCGGTCTGCACCCTCAGAGGATGCAATCCAGGTACACTGCTCTGGCTACTCTATCAGAATGTTGACACTGGTTACCATGGCAACACTGATAATTTCAAATGCAGACCGGAGGGGGAGAAAGAGAGCGAGAGAAAAAAAAAGAATATTTCAGGTTAATATATCCCTATTTCTAGAGTCACACAGAGTGGGTAAAGTGGTGTATAGGTAGTTGAGAGGAAGTTTAAGACCTGAGTTTGCAAATGTCTTTGAAACTTCAATGTCTTTTACAAAGCTGTGATAGAGGTATGACTACTCGTAGAGAGAAATATTCTCTGTGCATTTACTAGCGATGACCATGACACATCCCTGCAGGGTATTACAGTTGTATTACATAAAATGTGGTTATGTGTTTCTTAATATATCCATTTGTTGTCCTGTTGTCCTCTTTTGTGAACACATACTCCCACCAGAAGAGTGGGATGTTTATAACAACAAAGAACACTGCTCTGAAGAATCACGCCCACTTCAGAGCAATTTAGATATTTTGGAAACAGCCTGGGCACAATTCATCAGCTTTAGGAGGAAAACACAAACTGATTAATTTTGCATTATATTTTAACTTGAGAATGATTTCATGATGTGAGGAATTTCTTTATGTATACAATATAGCACTGCCTACAATGCTAAAGACAACATTGTACCCCCACATCTTTACAGCATGGCTGAGAGTGATAGAAGTTATAGTTCACACCATGTTGGAGCCAGGAACCCCCGAATATTAAATTCTCCTCAATGCTAAGTAGCCCAAAACCTGATCCCTAACACTAAACCCCAACCCTAAACCAAAGGGCTGTCGAAAACTGTACCCACAAATATAAGGCCTCTCATTGCACTGCATTCATTTAAATTGAGTTTTTGCTCTTATTGAAACAGTGCCAATTCAGCATGAGTCTAATAACCTCTGACATTTAATTTTTGGCCATTTTTACCTTTCTAAGTCCCCACCTGGGACATAATTGGAAAACACTGTCTGATGACACTGACTGCGAGCAATCTGGCTTCACAGAAAGGTGCAAGATATAAAGACTAATGGCTCCAAGTAAATGGATTAAACTATTAAACTATTTATGACGAATTGCAATGGGCATCACTTACTGTGAAATTGGCAAGAGAACGCACCTCAAAGAGAAAAGCGTCGGTGGGATGGAGGTTAAACCAGAAAAGCTCAGATACCTCCATTACGGGAGCATTAATTCAGTGATATTAACTGAACCTCTCCTTATAAACTCCAGAGAATATTTCATACATATTCCGAGTGATTCTGCGGTGTCGGTTCACACTCCTGGTAATTGCCAATGGATTTTCTCTGATGTGTAATATTGTAAGTGAGGGAACTGAAGAAGCAGGTCAGAGATCATGTCTAGCTCTGCAATCCAGCAGCAGATAACGAGTGGAGTAACGATTGCAGACTAATCACTGAGCCCACTGCTCACAATTTACAGCAAGTGCTTCATTCAGCAAATATTTACTGGTACTACAGCAGCTCTGTTATTAGTTTTATAAATCTTATGTCTGCTTCTGTCGGTGCAGACTTGCCATGTGGTGCTAAATTGTGAGGGGTTCAATGCTCCCCATAGAGTAATATTTGTGATGTGGGGCACCTCTTTTAACTCATCCCTTTATATACCATGCCACCATACCTCCCAACATTCCAACATCACTCACAACCTTGCAACAGACCTCCCAACATCACTCACAACCTTGCAACAGACCTCCCAACATTCCAACATCACTCACAACCTTGCAACAGACCTCCCAACACAGCAGTATAGCTCCCAACACATCAATATACCTCCCAACATACCCACTAACACTGCAACAGACCTCCCAACACTGCAACAGACCTCCCAACACTGCAACAGACCTTCCAACACTGCAACAGGCCTCCCAACACTGCAACAGGCCTCCCAACACTGCAACAGACCTCCCAACACTGCAACAGACCTCCCAACACTGCAACAGACCTCCCACATACCTCTCAACATTGCAGCATACCACCCAACACTACGACATAGCTCTCAGCATTCCAGAATAGCCCCCAATATTGCACTATAACTCCCAATGTTGTAACACACCTAATAACTTAAGATAAAATTCCAGCATAACTCCTAGTACTGAATTGTACTGTACCTCTGAATATTCCAACATATCTCGCGTATCATCTAAATTGAGACACTTGTGACTTATGTCTCAATTTAGAGACATAACTCTGTCTTAATGTTTTCATCCTGGTTATATATTTCTCTCTTTTTCTCTCTCCTTAGATGATTGATGAGTGGGGCTGTATGTTTATATTAGATTATTTATTACTCTGTGTGTTAACCCTACAGTAGCTGTATGATCTTAACTCCCACAATTCTCAACCAGTCCTGGACGCTGCTTTATAGGTTAGAAACTTGTTGTTCCCACCAATAACTAAAAGCTACTTGTACATTACACCAAATCTACATCTATCTAGAGCAGGGGTTTCCAATCAATTTTTCCCATGGAACCCTTTGACATAGTGTATCAACATCGTGGACTCCTCCTCCCCCCTTCCCGGAAAACAAAAAGCACTGTTTTTTGTATGTGCAAGTGTGTCAAGGTGTGTGTATCTGTGTGTCATTGTGTGTGTGTGTGTGTGTATGTATCTGACACACAGATACACACTGGCACACAGATACACACACCTTGACTCATAGTGTGTGTATGTATGTATGTATGTATCTATCTGTGTGTCAAGGTGTGTGTATCTGTGTTTTTATGTGCCAGTGTGTATGAATCTGACGCACAGATACACACACACACACACACTGGCACATAGTGGCAAACAGAAACACACACCTTGACACACAGTGTGTATTTGTGTATCAAGGTGTGTGTATCTATGTGTCAAAGTGTGTGTATCTGTGTTTGTATGTGCCGATGTGTATATCTGTGTTTGTATGTGCCAGTGTGTGTGTGTGTGTGTGTATCTGTGCTTGTGTGTGTGTATGTATATATGTATCTGAAACACATATACACACTGACACAGTGATACACAGACACTCACACCTTGACACACAAATACATATACTTAGATACACACAGTGTCATATCTACATACTGACACACTCAGATACACACACACAGGCACATACAAACACACTGATACACACTGGCACATACACACACATACTGACATACACACTTAGATACACACAGTGACACATACACAAACCTTGACACACACACACACACTCTTTGACAGACACACTCTCACTGACACATACAAACACATACACTCTTACTGACAAACACACATATACTCTTTGACAGACACCCAAACTCCCTAACAGACACATATAATTTATTATTTTGGGAGTGCTGGCATGGAGTCTCTATGTCCCATTGGAGCTGCTGGGCTGAGTGTGCGGTCCCTGGGGCCCAGTTGGGCTGTTGAGTGGCTGGTGCGAGGGTGGCAGTGATCTACCTGCTCGGCTCCCTCGTGCGCCTCTTAGTGATGCCGGAGCGACGTCATATTCTGGCTCCAGCATCACTGCTATGCACGCAAGGGAGATCACTGCCCACTGCTCCCTTGCTGCCTGCGGCCATTTGTTTTAAAACATTTTGGCGGAACCCCAATTGTGTTCTCGCGACACCAATTGGGAAACGCTGATCTAGAGTACTGTTTTGATAAATCTAGAACAAACAGTAACGGGAAGTCTGTGCACTAGGTCTTGCAATGTACTGAGAGCAGATGGCAGGTGTATTACTTATGACAGAAGGGTTTAAATCGCTAAACATCAAGCTGTCTAGAGCCGAAAACCAAATTGTAAAATTTAGTGAAGTTGTGACCGTAACGGTTTTGAAGAATTTGTCAGGTCAGCTATTTATTTGTTCCTGTATTTTGAATTCTAGTTTTCAATTCACTACAATTAGCTGCTTAATGAATAAGCAGCATGTCAGCCACTTCTCATTAAGACATCATAGCTCCTTAGCCCATTAGAGAAACCGAGTCACTTGCTGAGCATTTTTCCTTGTCTTTACAGCTGCTGGTCTGAATCATGGTGTAATGCTCATAATAAAATCATATGCAGCTAAAAAGAGGTCTTGTGGACCCCCATCACTTCTGTAAGGTTCTGCAACCTGAATATTTTGTATCTCGTATTCTCTTTGTCTCCAGCTCTCCCACAGCTCAACTGATAGGGAAGTCTGTCTGCAATCTTACAGAAAAAAACATGACTCCCCACTGCTAATATTTTGCCATTTTCAAGATGTTTGGTCTCTTGCAATGTGTGCGGGCAACTCACATTTTCCAACTGTGGCCAAGCATGGAATGATCGCACTGGTTATGTGCTAGACATCTTGTGATTTTTTACATTCCGAGTATCACAATCATTTGTGTTGTACTTTTTTGCTTATTTATTTTTATTTTCTTATATTGCTTTTCATGCTTTGCGTCAGGCCTGTCCTGCTTCTATCAGGGTTATTCAATAAAGTGAGAATTTAAATGAATTTCAAATTTAAGGCCCAGAAGCATAGCTGACTTAGATAATTTTCCAGTTTGGCTATCTTAAACTTAATTTACATTTACAAATACATTCTTATATTAAATGTAGGGCTAATAAGTTGATCAGACATTGATTTAATAAGATGATGGCTTTTTTAGGATAATGTATCCTCAAACACGCCATCATGTTCTTTAGATACCTCTAAACAGGGTGAATGAACCATCTGAAATTTTAGCCCTTCAGTATTTCGATTTAAAAAAAGTGTAAATAAATGAAAAGAATTTTAATTGTGCAAATTACCATATTTTAGAATGTTTTAGGTAGTCCTGAGCTGCATTCTGTATTAGAAATTGCTATCTCATCCTACATTTGCTAGCTATTCTTTCCTTGTTTCAAATGAATAGCAGTCTATCCATTTACTAAATAACTCAGTAGTGAAGGAGTTAAATATGTTTTAATTCATTTTTAACACAACAACTGCATCAGAGAGCAGCTACTCATTGGCCCATTTCATTGCGAGCTGCCGCTGTCGCCGTCTGCCCATCCAGTGTTATTTTTATTAGCATTGGAATAAAGAGCTTCTCACCTTGTCGACGCTTGTTCTAGGCCGTCAGAGACTGAAAGTGACTGGAAATCAGTAGCCGGTGACAACATTTCGATGTTTTGCCTCAAGTAGCTGCTGGATGCAGTCCAATCCCCACTGGATAAATGTCCCTGGTGCATCTGACATTCAGGCTGTCCGTCTCGACAGAAAGGATATACATTTAATTAACTTGCAATGTGAACCTCTCCGGCCCCACAGGACACCCCTGTGAGCTCCAATTTACAAATATGTGATGGGTACGTCTTTCTCCTTGCTGTAATTTAAAATCTTAATTTAAGCTATTCTCAGAACTTTAATAGATAAGTCACTCACTTTTAGCGTGCCGTACAGATTAGGATAGTGAATGTCATTTCAATGTACTAAGAGGTACCATACTCTGTAGCGTAGTACAAGAGGCCTGGTTTATGTTTCTGAATCAGATTCCCCCTGGACAGGGTTTATGTTTCTGAATCAGATTCCCCCTGGACAGGGTTTATGTTTCTGAATCAGATTCCCCCTGGACAGGGTTTATCTTTCTGAATCAGATGCCTCCTAGACAGGGTTTATGTTTCTGAATCAGATTCCCCCTAGACAGGGTTTATGTTTCTGAATCAGATGCCTCCTAGACAGGGTTTATGTTTCTGAATCAGATGCCTCCTAGACAGGGTTTCTGAATCAGATGCCTCCTAGACAGGGTTTACATTTATGAATCAGATGCCCCCTAGAAAGGATTTACATTTATGAATCAGATGCCCCCTAGAAAGGATTTAAATTTATGAATCAGATGCCCCCTAGAAAGGGTTTACATTTATGAATCAGATGCCCCCTAGAAAGGATTTACATTTATGAATCAGATGCCCCTTAGACAGGGTTTACATTTATGAATCAGATGCCTTGTGCGATATCGTCGGATCCGTGGCTCGGTGGTGACATAAGGGAGACATTTGTGTTTGCCACTAATGATCAATGTTTGCAGGAATGTGACAAAGGATTCAGGATTATACGTATAATTACATGTTGCTTTATGTGATTTAATAGCACTACCAGGAATAAAATCTGCCATCTTTTATAGGAAAATAACAGAACGTTGGCATCGCTCGGACAAAGTTCCTATAGGCCAAAAGCAGCATTTGAAGCTTTTCAGTTTGTATTTACTAGAGAATGCTCAGAATTTCACCTTAGAGACAGATCATTCCGTGGAGACTTTGGGAAGAATTTGGCAAACGCATGCAAAACGGGAAGCTATTTATAGATGATGTAGTCTTCAGCCAGACAGTAAAAAAAAAAAGTAAAGAAAAGAAAAGCAGTTTCTGATTTAAATTGTGCGTTAGCATAATATCTGTTTGTTCAATGTCATGTTTTTGTCTTGTATTTTCCAGTTCGTGGCAGCACGCAGACAGCATAAAATGCTTGTCACAGTCCGAATGATCGGACGATTCTCACGCTCTAACTAGTCTCGAGTCCAACAGAGATATTTCCGTTTTATGTTTACAGATCCTGAAGTGATTCAAAGTGGAGGGATTTCAAATAAAGCATCCGGGGTGTGCAATATTTTATTATTAAATCGTACGTGTCTCAGTAAGGATGCGTAGATGCAGCACACGTTTTTTTGATTGTGAAGGAAAAGGGAAAATCTCAGCAATCAGTGCATTTATTTATTGTTTAATCGTCATGGTTTATGACTAACGTGATCTAGAAGTCCTGCTTTCCTGCACTAATTCTATAAAGTTCTGCTCATTCTCACTGTGACCTTCCCGGCCTCTGAGTGACCTTCTCACAGTGTTTAAGTGAGAATTCAAGGCGATTTTCAGATTTGAGGACAGAGTAGCCAAACTGAGGACATAACTGAAATTCACTTTGTATTCTCTCTTTTGTGAATAACCCGGTCAAGTCTTCATATCCTTATTAAGTATTTATAAGCACATGCTCATGCTCTCCATGACCTTGCCCCACCTATGACCAAATCTGTCCTCATCCTGCGATACTGTGCACATTCTGTCCTCGTCCAGCATCTTGTGACATTGTGCGTGTTTTGTCCTCATCTGACATCCTGTGACACTGTGCCTGTTCCTTTCCTGTCCATCATTGTGTGACATTGTGCACATTCTGTCCTTGTCTATCATCCTGTGACATTGTGTGTGTTATGCCCTTGTCTGGAATACTGTGCTATTGTGCGTGTTCTGTCCTCATCCATCATCCTGTGTTGTTATGCACATTCTGTCCTCATCTGACATTGTCTGCGTTCTGTCCTTGTCTTCCATCCTGTGACATGGTGAGTGTACTGTCTTAGTCTGGCATCATGTGACATTGTGCACGTTCTGTCCTAATCCAGCATACTGTGACATTGTGAATGTTCTGTCCTCATCCATCATCCTGTGTTATTGTGCGCGTACTGTCCTCATCTGGCATCAGGTGACATTGTGCACATTCTATCCTTGTCTGGCATGGTGAGTGTTCTGTCCTTGTCTGGCATCATGTGACATTGTGTGCGTTCTGTCCTTGTCCAGCATGCTGTGTTATTGTGCGCGTTCTGTCCTCATCTGACATTGTGCACGTTCTGTCCTTGTCTGGCATCATGTGACATTGTGCACGTTCTGTCCTTGTCTGGCATCATGTGACATTGTGCACGTTC